AGTGAAAGTGAATTATTTTAAGTCCCTTTTAATGTTTCTTTTGTTGAAAGTGCTCGATGATACTTTAAAAAGAAATGCATTCAAATAGTGCCACATTTGATATAATCATATCATGTATAACGCACTTTCCCACAAACTGAAGTCATCCTCAAAGTGAAAAAGAGGAGACTACTATGGATAAGACGAGCAAAATTTACCCGCACGGTGCCACGGTATTAGTAGGTAAAAAGCCAAAAAAAATAGTGGTCTAAACATTTAATTTTAAAAATACACCGTATATCTAATCGTTTTGAATAAAAAGTATAGCATGTTATAGAAAAATATAGTACTCACACCATACTAAACAGATGACATACAAAGTAGGTAGAAAATTAATCCTTCCGGATATTCTTGGTCTAAGAGTGACTTTAGAAGTGAGTGAGTCTAAAGATAAATGGTGGTAAAAGTAAAACATTGGGTTTATAGGTAAAAAAAACCTTTTTTGAAGCAGATGAGTAAAATAAATTGATGTAGTACTTTGGGTTTATAGGTGCAAAATTCATCTTAGTTCGCAGTGTCATGAAACTAGTGTAAATTAACCCAAAAAATTGTTTATGCATTTTACTCCGTGTGCCTAACCACTTAGAAATAATATAGAAACCTAAAGAAAATATAGCAACTTACACCGTGTGCCAAATTGTTGAAATATGCATTGACTTTAAAGTTATTTCATAGAGATTCTTTAGGCCAAGAGTGACTTTGGAGTGAGTGGGTTGAAAATTTGATGGGATAAAGCTTTGGTTTTATTAGTTAAAAAAAATATTTGGGGGTGGGCTCAAAGTTAAATGGGGTAGAATTTTCAATGGAGTGCATGATTCTGGAAAAGGATGGGTCTAAAAATAAACAGGGACACAACTTTGGGTTTATAAAAAGAAGTTGGTGGATTTAAAAATAAATGGGTTAAAACTTGGGTATATAGGTAAAAAATAAAAACTTAAATATGAGCAGATCAAGACTCAAACTTGTGACCTATATATTTACCACTATGCCACATCCTGTCTATTTACTTGTGAACTTCAGCTAAGCACTGTTCATCCCCAATAAATTTAGTATATATTATAAAATCAATTTATTATTCAACTCTCCGTTTTTTCATTTGCTTTGGCAAAAGATTATAATAACTTTTTTATAACCCTAATAACTTTAAAGGTGGAACATTTTGTTAACATTAAATCATATAGTTATTATATTACTACAAATATGACAAAATGGTCATTTCTCCCTTAAAGTATTGGTGAATTCTCAAGTTGTCCCCTAAAATATCAATTTACCTATTTTGTCAATCTAACTGTGTTTGTGGTTTCAATATGGCCATTTTGTAAGTCTACAATCAAATATTTAACAGATTAATGACATAACATTTTTGTATTTCTTAACGGATTAATGACATAACATTTTTTTGTATTTCTTAACGGATCTTTATCAATTATCTCTTTTTTTCCCAAACTAAAAATATTTTTAACTACTTTCTCCCAAAACATTTTACCCTTTAACTTCTTTTTATAAATTTAAAAAAAAAGATTTTTTAGATGGTAAAAAACACTATCACATCATTAATTTGTTAAATATTTGACTATAGGCTCACAAAATGATCACACTGGGAGCATTCACAGTTTTGGGGGTGGGGGCGAGGGGGGAATAGGCAAATTAATATTTCAAGGAGCAATTTCAAAGTTCACCAATACTATTAAGGGGAAATGATCATTTTGTCCATAAGAAAAAGATGTTAGTGAGTATTGTACGTCATATGAGAGGATTCTCTCATATACAATTATGTGGTGCAATCTTAACTGAGTGTTGCTATGAGGTGTCTCTCTCGCTCTTCTTCACTTGGTTAAGAACTTAAGACATGACATTATCATATGAGATAGTCGCCTCATATGACATTGATACTCATTATTCTCTAAAAATTTATGACTTAAATACATAAGAAAATTTTGTTGCTTTGTTTTCTCAGGGGGTTGGGTTTTTTTTTTTGGTTGAGGTAGGGGTGCTTAGCCTTGTTTTATTGATGACTTATAAAACCATAGCTCATACACATTTAATTTGCTAATAGTGTAGGCCAATTACAATTCAACCAATATCTATAAAGAACGAGTTCTAAGCTTTAGAGGTTTAGTTAAGTAGATACCTTAGCGCCTGAGATGAGAAATGCTAATTGCATGGTGATTTCTCCAAACACTATTGCTAGAATTTAGCCTTGCATCTCAATCCAAAAGACAAATAAATTGTAAGAAGTAGAGCAAGAAAGGAACCAATGGTCGACTGAGCGGTCGATCGGCTATAGCTATGTGTCGACCATCCAATTGATCAACTAGTCTAACCACACTGCGATCGTCCATGTCAAACCCTGTTTGGTTCAAGATTCCTATTTCTTTGGTATTTCGGGTAGAACTCTATATGTATGGGTCTTCTAAGTCAAGGATTAGAACATTGCGCCAAAAATCTACAAATTGTAAAGGAGTTGAATAGGATTTTAAGGGGGGAAAAAACAAATGAGAGAAACTCAGAGTTTTGTGAGGAAACTTCATGAGATTGAGAGGAGGATCTTCGGAATAAACTAGACTCATATCACTCCTAATGGACGTAGGCAATTGCCAAACCACATAAACCTTCGTCTTTGCATCTGGTTTTATTTTTAGCGACATTGTCATGATTTCTACGTTCCGATCTTGTTCGTTTTCTGTGTTTCTCCCTTGCGAAACATATAGTTTCCCCTATTTAAAAGGAGTAGATCTAGTTGGGTAGATCTGCGCACGCTTCCACATAGGTTACATTAATTGATATAAAAGCCGGTTGTCCTAACAATCCAAACAGTGGCGTAACCAGGAATTGAAGCTTGGGGGGTCACTCCTACTTTTTCTCTTAAAAAATGCTAAAGTAATTATATGAATAATCGCCTTCGATAATATCAGTATTTTTTGAGAGAAAGGACATGGTATCAAACATAAAAACCCTACCCAAAAATAACTATTTACAAGAAGGAAATGATTACTCCCAACTCTAAAATATAGTCAGAATTGATATAAAAGAAAAAGAAAAGCAAAAACTAAAATTATTGAGCTTGGAAATGACATAAAAGCTACTAATGATTTGTACTTTTTTGGAAATTTTATTTAATTTCATCATTGCTGGTAGTGGTAGTTTGATATATGCATGTTAGTGTGCAGTCATTCATCCATTTATCTTCTATGCAGTTATATAGTTTAGTTTTCATGATATTCATGGCTTAAAATGCACTCAACATTTGCAGTTGCAACAAACAAAATCAGTGTGAACTTTTAAGCTCATAAACAAAGAGATAGATTGCATCTTTCATCTCCAACATCTTTTCCGCATAACTTTAAATTCTATTCAACCTTAGTCTGTATTAAACTTTTTCTAATTTTAGGTTTAGATCCTCAAAGATCTATATCTAATACAACAAATAACTTGACATAGCTTATCCTTTAAGCTATTAAATACGACCTAAAGGCAAAAATCAAAATTTCCAAGAGAATAAAATTGTTCAAGCTATAGAATATGATTGGATAATCATGCCATCAAGTTATTTCTAAGATATTTTCCAGGAACAAAGAACTACTAGTTATTTTGTTGTGGGCCTGAGATCTGTAGCCATATATTTAAAATGCTAAAATATTAAATATTGTCCGCTCCAACGGGTCTAAAGGAAACATTTTTAGTTCAGCCCA